TAAGAGTTTGAGAAGCTTGGGTATTGTTTATCTTAACTAACTTATTAATACTGAGGGTAACAAACTACGTATATAGCAACAGACTAAACTACTTAGAGAGAAAGTTAGTAAGGGCAAAGTAGCAAGTTGGTATAAATCAATTGAGTGCTTAACACTAGCCAACAAGAAAGAAAAATTAATTAAACCAGAATACCAAATACCAGACTATAATAAAATGGCTCTGCTACTTCCCAAATGCCAAATAAAAAAGGACAAAAGAACCAAAAAATAGATTTTTACAAGTGCGAACAAAGAGAATCTAGGCTTCCCAAGAGTAGTAAAGAAAAAAGATAAACAAGTCTTAGACGAGCATTGACAAGGAAAAAATATAAATATAGAAAATAGTAGAGAATTTCAGCTAATAGAAAAATGTGAGTGCTGCCAATTAAACTCATATAAACATGATAATAGTTGCCAAAGATGTTTGAGATATGGAAAGATTTAAGAGGTGCTGCTAGGTATTCAAACCAAAGAAAACAAAAAATTGACTCCTTTTTTAGAAGAATTTTTAAAGGAGATACAGCATCTAGATAAATTAAAGATAGACAAAATTTTACCACTACCATCAATATAGCTTGAAGAAATACTAGAAGCATAGTTGATAAAGAAGCAGAAGTTTGGTAAAATGATGTTAGACAATCTACTTAAGACATTAGATAAAAACAGAATATCTAGTAATAAAACATTTGTATTCTATACAGATAGTTCACTAGTGCACACAGATGGGGATAGTATAATAGGAGCAAGCTGGGTTCAAATTGATGAAGATTTGGATATTAGTATAGCAGAAGGTAATATTAGATTAAATTGTTGGCTATTATTCACAAACCAGAACTCACAGCAATCTGGGTAGCCCTTTTCACAGTCTTATTAAATAGTAAAGTAATAATCTACACAGACAGTGTAGCTGTGATTACAAGTATTAGAAAGATAGAAGATAACTAGTAAGGTTACAATTGGTTCAAGAGTAATAACTTTCTACTACTTTGCCAAAATTTCAGATCTAATCAGACTAAAAGACTTGAACTTAGCATTTAAAAAAGTCAAAGAGTATAGTAATAATAAATAAAATGATAAAGCAGATAAAGTAGCAAAAGAAACATTATTACTACAAGAAAAAACAAACATTCATTCATTACAAAATACTCGATTTAAAGCATTATTGTACTAGAAAAATATGATAGTCAAGGGCCTATTAAGAAAGTTTCTCTAAAATCTTTTCAATCTATGGAATAGAGCCAACTGGTTACAAACAAAAGGAATCTTGGAATTAGAAAATGCAGAAGATACTCCAATGTATAATTGGCAGTTATACTAGAAGCAGACCAAAAGACAAATAGGAGTTAAATATATTTCATTAGTGCAAAGCAAGAAGTTTTCAACCAGGATTAAGAGCCTCATAAACAAACTCCTACTACTAGTAGAGGTTAAAAGAAGATGATCTAACCTGTACCAAGAAGATTTTTGTATATTATGCAACTTAAAGAAGAAAGAAACTCTTGAATATCTTGCAGAATGCATAGCTCTAGAATTCAAATGAGAAAATATCAAAGTGGTAGTGCCAGAACTAATCTGGGTAAAGTTAGAAAAGATGTATAGAAGAAAGATTAGCAAGCCAAGTTTAGCTAATCTCCTGTTCAAGAGGAACAAAAGCTAAGAAGGTACAAATCAGAACTGAGATAGCAAGAAAGTTAACAAGAAATGAACTTTATAATAGTCTCAGTTGTATCTTCAAATTAAACTAGATCACAAAATTAGTTTTAGACCAGTTTATATTAATTTCATAGAATCTTTTTCATGACTTTATTTGGAAATCCATATATATGAAGATAGTAGATTGGGAAATCTTACTAGGGATTACTTGCAGTGCTAAAGTTAGAAAAAGGTAGATTCTACAGATCATAACAAGAACTTTGAAGCAAAAGGAAAATGTCAAATATCCAAAAACTTGACTAAAGAAGATAAAGAGTTACAAAAAAAAATTATAGATGAAAAATGATATATAGCTGTTTTTAGTCTGATTTGAAAGAGTGTAACTTCCTTTTGGACTTCCCTCTAAAACAGGGCTAATTCAGACTCTGAGCTCTCTGGAGCCTGGTGCAATAGGTTGCATTTAAGTCTCAGGCTCAGATGATATTAGACTTAGTTTAGTCTTAGAAATTTAAAATATGTATTTTCTTATTAAATATATAATAAAACTAAGAGGTCAAGTTTTGGCAAGACCTATCTAAGAGGAAAAAAAAAAAAAATTAAAACATGCTAGACTATTCTTTATTTCTGCTTATACTTCTAGCTATATCCAAACAATAAAAAGAAAATTATATCTTTTTTATTGCCAAAAAAACTATTTTTGATAGTAACTTATCTAATACAAGACTTATTAGTCTAGTAGAACATATTTACAAACTTTATATCAAACTTTTTATTAACTAGCTTAACTATATACTATAATAATACAATATTCTATTACTCTTTAATTATATTACTCTTTTTAGTAACTCTATTTTTATCTCTATACATACTTTTAATAATATAATTGAAGATATTAACTGTTAACTTAACTACCTCTAAATCCTTTTATAAAATATAACTAAAATTTATGACTTAGTTAACTTTGAACTCTTTCAAAAGTCTTTTTTTAAACTACAAATATCTCAATAGCTTATTAATATTCTCTTCAATTTACTCTTTAACCAAACCAACCAAGTTATTACTAATTTTGAACTTACTAATTTTTATTTAGTTAAAAATAATATAAATCAAAATAAAACTATTTTTTGGAAGATCTACTATAATCTTCTTATTTTTTATATCTTTATATACTATTCTGATTATACACTTTTCTCAATATAGCAATCTTGTTTTACTTTTCTCTTTACTAACTAACTTCATATCTTTATATCAGTTTTAGCATATATAAATAATACTATCTTTCAAAATGAAAGGATTAGATGTGGGCATCATAGTACAGGTATAGAGTCAGAGAGTTTAAACGGGTAATCTCTTAGCAGATTATAGATACGGTGACTAGTGTATAACCTTAGGGCAGACTACTTAAATAGGCAATCAAAAGTTGTATGTATGGCTAGTTGTACTCTCAAAATATAAATATATCATGACTTAGTTTGTGCTAAGCATTACATTTAGTACTAATAAAGCATTAAGGGTCTAAGTACTCATCTCAATATTTAAAAAAAAATAATAATAATAATAATACTATCTGAATTATCCAATCTAAAAAAACTTGATAATATTATTAATATAGTTATCTCTTTCTATAATATAACTAATATTCAAGTTAACTATTTCAAATCAATCTTTATTTTAAAACAATTTTCTGCTTCTATCTCATTTTTTAACTCTAATCTCATATCTATCTTAACACATCAACCTTTAAATTTCTGGACTACTGGTTTACTTTTAGCAATAAGTATATATAGCAAATTAAACTTATTCAAGATAAAGCAATATAATTAGCCAATATTGCAAATACTAAAAATATTACAGATAAACAAATTTTCTATATTATTAATACTATTATTATCCTTACTACCAAATACTATATTCTAAATATTGTTATTCTTCTTTTTACTTGCAACAAAATTTTTGGCAAATACTTAACTATTGCCAAACACAAATTACACCTCTTTTGATTTACTTCAAATAGTACTATACTTAATTACAATCTTTATAATACTCACAGCTTATAGAATATCCAACTTCAATACTATACTAGTAACTTTTTTAATCAAATTAACAACCTATCTACTCTTGGTATAACAACCCAAATCAAAGTTCAATATCTTTAAAATAATCTATAGTTAACTACTAGTATTTTTTACTATTCTAATCTTCTAATTAATAGCTCTAACAAACACACTACTACCTTTAAAATTATACAACTTTTTAACTTTCTCAATATTTCTATTTCTTTTAACCCTAATATATTCTACCCCTAAACTCTTTTTGGTAATAACTTATCTTTAGAATTTATTCATTTTAATATCATAACTACTGTATCTTTAAATAACAAATTCAACATAAAAATATTTTGTTTCTTAAACAATTATGCTTTGCTAATAACAAATAACTAATTAATTGATCATATTTATTTTCAAGACTACTTTATATTCTCAAAAGAAAAAAGCTAGCTTGGTTTTTTTATCTTGAAAACAGAATTCTATTTTATATCTTTTATTGCATTGTCATATCTTCTTTTTTAACCTACCAGATTCAATTTACTTGTATATCAAATCAATCTTATAAATATATCTTTCAAACTATGAGTTTTTATTCTCTACAATAATGAAATTATTATTTAACAAGTCTATAAAATCTTCTATCAATTGAATACAATATCTATTAATTACTAGTGATATAATATCAATATCTTTTACTTAACTTGTTACTCTCTACTTTCTATTTCATATAAATTTTGTATAGACTATAGCCTTAATACTAATCATATTGCTAACTACTATAGAGGTTTTCTTTATTTTTTTCATCTAATTTTTTTAAAAAAAATCTAACTACTAATTTAAACTCAATATCAACTATATTAATATTATATAATTTCTATATAATCACAAAGTAAAAGTTCAAGCAGTTTAAAGTATTGGTTAGTTAGTTACAAAAAAATATAAAATTTAAATTTTATAAAATTTTATATATAATACTACAATAGTAAAAATTGCAAACAAATTTGTCTATAATTACTTACTATTTAAGAGATAATTTTAACAAAATTGGTTTTAAGAGATTTAATTTATGAATATTTCTATTTGTATGCATTGTGTATAAACACAGTTACATAGATCAGCAAATTATACATATATTATTTATATGTATGTTATCATTATCGTTATATAGTTTAAAGTCTGATTGTGTAAATAAATTAATTGCAATAGCCCAAATCATTAACTTTCTTTCTCTTTTATTTTGCAATTTTGTACCAGAGCAATTTAATATGCCATGATACGATTTATACAACAATGCTGAGGAAGATCTGGTTCATATTTTTTTGCCGTCTCCATCATGTGACAACAGTGTCTTATTTTCTTCAAATGTAATGGTAAAGCTTTGAGTTCCTTTAATTCTTTAATTTAGTTTATTTCTTCTACTCCTTTTTTATTTTCACTCTTTATTTTTTTTTTCTTGTCTTTCAATATAGCGATTCTTACCTGTTTATTTCTAAAATCGACTAGAGTGTTCTTTCATCATCAGCATCACATGATCTTGTAACTAAGATGGTTTTTTATACCTGACCTTTATTTCTTTCATGCTTTGAATATTACAATACATTTTTGTGATTTTTATCCTGAGCTTTTTTATTTTAATTTGAAATCAGTTAGGAAGAAGAGATTTATACTTTTCTTTCATCATCATTTTAATTGCTATAGCTTTTACATGAGTATGTGATTTTATTTCTTTCGAATATAAAGCTCATTTTTATTCCTTCAATTTATAATTCTTTCTATTTCTTTTTTTTTTCCTCGCACACTTTCTTTCTTTTTTTGAGTCTCAATATAATTCTTATTTTGATTATTCCTAAAACCTGCCAGGGTGTTTCTTTGGCATCACAAGATCATGTAATTAAGATGTTTTTTTATCCTGTTCTATTTATTCATTCTTATTTCTTTGTAACTTTGAATATTACAATGCTCTTGTATTCTTATTTTGAACCTTTTTTTTTTAGTTTAAAATTGATCAGAAAGACAATATTTATGCTTTTTCTCCATCATCATTTCAATTGCCACAGCCTTTATATGAGCACATGATTTTATTTCCTCTAAATATAAAGCTTTAACTTTTATTCCTTCAATTCTTTAATTCTTTTTATTCATTTCTATTTTTTTTTTTTCCTCTCACACTTTCATTCTTTTCTTGGGTCTCAATATAATAATTCTGACTTTGATTATTTCTGAAATCTACCAAAGTGTTTCTTTGGTATTACATGATCATGTAATTAAAATATTTTTTTTATCTCGTTCTATTTATCCTTATTTCTTCGTACTTTGAATATTATGATGCTCTTGCATTCTTATCTTGAGCCTTTTTTTTTAGTTTGAAATCGGTTAGGAAGAAAATATTAATGCATTATCGTTTCAATTGCCATAGCCTTTACATAATCACGTAATTTTATTTTCTCCTAATGTAAAGCTTTTATTTTATTTCTTCAGTTTTTTAATTCTTTCTATTCATTTCTATTTCTTTTTTTTTTCCTCACACACTTTCTTTTTTTTGGTCTCAATATAATAATTCTTACCTTGATTATTTCTGAAATTTACTAAGGTGTTTCTTTGGTGTTACATGATCAAATAATTAAGATGATTTTTTTACACCCAATTGGTATTTCTTTCATACCTTGAATATTAATTACATCATTGTAATTTTTATCTTGAGCTTTCTTTTAGTATGAAATCAGTCAAGCTGAGTTTTATACTTTTCCTTTATTGTCACAGTCATTCCATGACAATGTAAATTTAGCTTTTTTATTTTCTTGTTGCCTGGAGTTTTGTAATACAATATAATTCTTACTCTCAAATTTTTTTATTTTTTTGAATTGATTAGGAAGATGAAATTCAGAATTCTTCACTATCAGAAGACCACATAATTTTTGACACAGTTTAAAGTGAAATTTAATTAGCACATTTATCATTACTGGATGTCTAACAACTAATTTCTTGATTTGTAAAACTTCGATCTGACTTCTTTTATAGTTAATGATTCAATAGATAATATCGAACCAGAAGTGGACAATTCATCAAATTCTATAGAATTTATATCTGGACTTACTTTTTCAAATTAGAATAGATTTAAAGCCTAGATTCATAACTATGTGTTGAAAAAAGGCTTTAGTTATAAAATTAGGAATAGCAAAATTGATCAAGGCATTATGAAAAGAGTTGTATATGATTGTGCTAAATCGGGTGCCCATAACCTGCAAATAACGACTGACCCAACCAAGCACCATAAAGTCTCCTCTCAATAAATTAAATGCCCCTGGAGATTAAATGTTAATTATCAAAAGACATACAATATTGTTAAAATAACTTCAGTTACAAATAAGTACAACTATTCTCTTACTCCTATAATTAGTAAAATTGTCCTACAATTTCGCAAGCTAATGCCTGAAATGTTGGCTGATATTAAAAAGTATGTGATTCAAGGTAATTTAGATTCCAGATTAATATATTCTTTATGAAAACATGATTACCCTCAACAATATTTTTAGAAGTGTGATTTGTATAATGTTGTATATATCTTTCAGAAAAATAATAACCTAGAAAATACAGATGCATCTTTAATGCTTCAAATCTTGTTAAGTTGAAAAGAAGCAAATCCACTATGGCTTGTTAAATCATGGTTAGATACTGTATCTAGAAAATTGAATTCATTGCTTTGGATGTCACCCTCACAAAGATCCCTATATGAAACTTTTCATAATATTTTATTTATAGATACTATGTCGAACACAAATTGGTTTTAAATGATGTTATATGTTATTACAGTGATTGATAACTATTACAGGACAAGGATTATAGCAAGCACAGTTATTGAAGATGAAACTTTGGAGACATTCCAGTAGATTTTTAAGACATTACTTGACGAAACTGGTGTTATTCCTACAACAATTTTTACTGATAGTGACCCATCTATGATAAGTGCAATAAAACACATATATCCTGCCACAAATCATATGTTATATATTCCATATTGATTTGAACTTTAAAAAAAAGCTGAGAGGTAAATTAGGTTTTTGCTTTGCAGAATTCTGTATAGACTTTTATTGCTACTGCAACAGTTTATGTAGAGATCTTTTTGAAGATTAATAGAAGAAATTGTTAAATAATTATCCAGCAGCGGAAAAATATTTGAATAGTACCCTTTATTGTACTAAGAAGTTATGGAAAACATCTTGAATTAATAATAAATTTACAGGAGATACACAAAGTACTCAAAGAATAGAATCAGTCAATTCCTATATATGTAGAAAAGTCAATCGGTCAACTTCTTTATATGACCTATTAATTGGTCTTAATGATTATATAAATCAGGATACACATTTAACTAAATTTGAATTAGAATACAATGCTATTCTGACTACTGGACTGCCAATGTTGAATAATCATTTCTTCTTTAATGTTGATAAAATTTTAGAAAAATTTCTTACAATCAACATGCTTAACAAAAAGAGAGACCAAATGAATGCAAGTGTGTACTATTATGTTATTCACATTCATAAACATCAAATTTTAATTGAGATATATAGTATGTTTTTATGTTTATTTAATATTTATTAATCTAATACTAATAGAATTTTATCATTATAGACTAATATAGATAATTTACAGGTTGGTCTTTGGATTAAAGAGAAGATTTTGATACATGTCAGATTTTATTTTTGTTACTTATACAACATGTGTCATTTGAAAAAACTCTTCAAGTTTGGCACATGCGTGCTACAGAAACAACAGGACATGGTCATTATGTTATATTGCTAGAAGACGGTATACATTTGTGTACTTGCCTTTTTTTAATTAACAAAGGTTTAATTTGCGACTATTTTTTTCAAGTAGGTACATATTCCTCATCAGCTACATTTCATATAACTCTCATTCTAAGCCGGTGGTATCTGGATTCTAGAATTATTCATAACAATTTATTTAAAGAAGTTCCAACTACTACTATTTCTGTCTCTGATCAGCAAGAAGCTCCTGAAGCTATTCCAAACACTACATTACAACACCTTTTTTTGATTTGTTCAACTATTTCAAATCCTAAATCAAAATCTAGACTAGCCAAACAAATATATGCAGAGTTATTTAGGTTATCTAAAAAGGCAGTGGACTATGCTATTAAAGCTGATATCAATTCTGAACTGTCTAATGTTCTTAGAACTTTTATTAATAAAGCAAAAAATAAAATAAATAATAAGACTAATCAGACTCAAGATGATAATAATGTTAGTAACATTAACAATCCAAATATCACAAAACATAAAGAATGGCCCCTAATCAGCTTAAATTTTGCATTGAAGAATCAAATCAAAACAATCAAGTAAGATAGCTATTAAGAGATCTTAATATTATTAGTAGAAATGTTGATGCACTGAATGGAAAAAATATCAAGAGTTATAAATGTGAAAAATGTAGACAGTTGGGACATTATGCTAAAACTTGTCCATTATTAGAGTAACAATTTTAATAGCATTAGCAATTAATATCATTATGACAAGTTTTATTTGTATAATGTATAAATTATTCAGTTTTTTAAAGTTTTATTAAGTACTATGTTTGAATTTTACTTAAATCTTGTTGAACTTTCAATGTTAAATTCAAAAGATAATTAGCATATAGAGATATTGCCTGAACTAATAACAGTATTATAATTGCTTTTCTTTAATAAATTTGAGAAATGTTAAGAATTGTTTATAGTCAAATAATATCACAAATCAATAAGTTTGATAAAATTAATTCTAGGGTCAGTGGTAAAAATAATCAATAAGTTCAAAAAAAAACTTAAAGAATTAGGAACTAAAGTTACTGACTAGTATCATATTGGTTTTTTATATATACATACGTACGTACGTAGGTATTTACTGCTTTATAGTTATTGGTGAATTTATCATATAGTTTTGCTATACTAATAGTTTGGGCTATATTCCTCACATGTATGGTTATTAATGAAAATGATTTATGCTTAAAGTATAATGAATTTTTTTATATACAAACTATGCATATTATATGACTAATTTTTACAATACTATTGTATTGCATGTATATATGCACAATGTATATACAGTATTTTGGACAATCTTTCATTATACTATTTATATAATTCTCTTAATATTAATTACATAAGAATTATGCAATTGCATCATTGGTAATGCTAGAACAAATCTTATTTGTG